TTTAAATAAATAAATGAAGGCAAGAAAAAGACTCAAAATTCTTTTAAACTAACATATAAGAGAGGAAAGTGAACAAAATGCTCAAACTTGATAAGGTCTAAGACCTCGCTCCTGGTTAGCTGTGCCAAACAACTGCCTCAACACAGTAAAGCATAATGTCATTGCAGTACTTATATTGATGAACATACGAGTCAAAAATACAAATGGGCTTAATGGGAAAGCACTGGAGGCAGAGATGGATGAAGGAAGGGGGAGAAAAAAGAGAAACAGAGAAAGATAAAGGCACATCAGCAGAATAAATACTCTGATAAATCACTGTGGAGACAGAAAGCTGTCGAATAAATTTATCCCTTCCTATTATGGCCCCTTGTATCTTTCACCACAGGAGGCATAAAGCGTGTGTGTGTGTGTGAATGTGGGAGAGTGGTAGAGAAGAGAAAGAGTGATGATGAAGATGACCCTGGCACTGACGTATACAGCAACATAGGGCGCGTGCACACGCATGACATCCATGTCACAAATATTCCCGTGACACATTCTCACACGCACAAGACATTGGGTAATTGGGACCCCCTGGGGGCCGATCCCTGGTCTCGGGTGCCAAGGGCGCACATTCCCCACCGAGAGGCAGATAAATCAACTGTTAATAAGCCAGCGAGCACTGAGGTTGTATTTACGACTGCTCTCTACACAAGGCCAGTGGCACCACACCAACTGTGGTCTGACGTACACACGCGCTCACAAGCACTCCATCTCTACGGCGCAGAGAAACCCCAAAGATACCTCTGCCCATAACCGTACGTCAAGAGCAAAAAAAAAAATCTCCTGTAATGCGATATATTCAGCATTTTTCATCAGTGCCTGCGTTTTTTCCATTAACCCATAATGGAGGAGGGTTCTCTGCTAAATCTAATGCTCTGACATATACACAGCGTGGATATCAGCCAAGTCGGGCTACAGCGTTAACCAGACCTCTGCGCAGCGGCACGGTGGAGAAGAGTATTGATTCATCCACGGAAAGTCACCTTCCTCATCCCACGCAGCGCCTCGAGGGCCCTGGTCATTTCAGTCAGCCAATTTGTATGGCTGTTGTTATTATTAGTTTTGCTGTGGTGTAGCGCTTTGATCTTGGGGCTTGGACACAGCGCTTTATGATGCCGCACCTAATAAACATTATTGTGATTTTCCCAGGCTAGTAATTAAGCGTGAGGCTAATTTGTCATAGTTAGTTAAAGCGTGGCAGACCGCCAGGAGAGGGCTGCCTAGCAGGGGAATGCTGGTTGAGACGGCCAGAGGTTTAATGCGTATTGTTCATTTAAAACCACCGGCTAATAATCGTGTCGGTACTCTCATCAGCGGGGTTTTGTTTAGATTTTCGGTCCTGTTTCTTAGTTCTTTTTTCTATGCTTTAGTCCCTGTGCTTTATCTAGGTAGCTTTCTGTCGGTTTTTGTTACTTGTTTCCTGTTTTATTCTAGTGTCTCTCTTCATTTCCTGTGTTTTCCCCTTGTGTCTCACTTTATTTTACTTACGTACTCAGTTCCCCCCCCTTTCTGGCTATCATTCAGCTACCCGCACCTGTGTTTCTCAGTGACCTGGCTTTCATTCCACTAATCTCACACCCCTCTATAAAAGCTTCTCAATCGCTTCACACTGTGCCAGATCCTTAAGGTCATAACGCCATATCTCTGTCTCGATTTCCATTCCTACACTGAGTTCTTTGGTTTAGTTAGTTTCTAGGTTTTTGTTTTTCCCCCCAAGTTTAGATAACCCTGTATCCAGCTGGGGCTGCGCCTTTTTCATTGTCCTAGTTAGTAAATTAGTTTTTTGGGAGTTCCTGGCTCCCTGTGTTTCCCTCCCTCCGCCCTACAATTGGATCCTTCCCTTCACCAAACCACCACTCTCAATCCGTGACAGGTACTGGCTTTCCTATACAAGGTTTGGAGCTGTGGTTTAGACGGATGAGTGCATATGCAAAGACACTAAATTCATTATACTATGAAACACAAGGCTTTTTGCTTTCAAAAGATTAAAGAAGACACATTTCTAACCACAGCAAAGAAATAGATATTGATCTAGTGAACTAAAGACCAGCGTCTGAACATTTGTACTCCAGCCGTAGATACAACTGCTCCTGATAACATCTTATTGTGCTCTGACCAAAATTAGGAAATGTTTCAACATGCTTGTGTTGACTGTGTGCTTATCTACGACATGACTCTTTTCATTCCTGACTGATTCAGAGTTTGCACTGTTGCCTCTGCATTTATCTTCCTTTGTACCTCAGCACATCTTATGTAGATGTGAAAGTCTTCGGGCAAAAAGGAGCAAAAGTGGAAAAAACATGTGTAAGGTGGATTAGTATGAACAGACCTGGTTTAATGAAGCAATCGCACAACTTTTCTTGTCTTTTTTTTCCATCAGACATTGCCTGAAGAGAAAACCATACAGTCAAATTACTGTGAAGTTAACTAAATTGCCTCGGAGTATATGGATGTATATGGATAGAAAAAAAAAAACATCTTTATAGTGCCATTGGTAATAAACGAAACGAAGACATATGGCAATTAATGGAGACAAATAAAAGTGGTTTTGTAGCGCAGGGACTCAGATGATAAAGTAGTATTACAAGGTTTTGATTTCCCCCATTTCAGGGAGTAACTGAACAATTGTGAAATAAAGGCATTTAGAGCGAGATTTACACAGGTTTTCCATTCATTCAATTTCGCTCAGGCTTATACCTATTAGGGTCTAAGGGTAATGGAGCCTATCCAAGCTGTCACTGGTCGAAAGGCAGGGCACACCCTGGACAGGTTGCTACTTCATCACATGACCACACAGAAACTAACAAGACAGGCAACAATTCACACGCACACACTCGCCGTCACACTCATTCCTACAGGCAATTTAAGATATTCAATTAACCTAACACGCATGTTTTTGGAAGGTTTGAGGAGGTGTGATTACCCAGAGAGAACCCACTCATACACAGGGAAAACATGCAAAGGCTTCCAGCTGGGTTCGGAACTAGGAACCCTCTTTCTGCGGTGCTAACTCCACCACTACACGCAGTCAAATTTGTGAAGTCTGACCTGATTATAGTGAAAACTGCAGAAAATTGGCGAGTAACATTTTTTACAGGTATACCATGAAGAGATGTTTTCACAGAACTATCTATAATTAACAACTGCTTGTGCAGATGCCATGGAAAGCTGGCTGGCAACAGAATTAACATATCCAAATAAGTGTGAAAAAACCCTGTTCGTTAATTGTATAACTGTATGGGCTTCATTATGTATAAATGACCAAAAAAATCTTCTGATGAAGACACCGACATTAAACTTTCATTTAGTTTCAATACAATTTATTGCTGAATGCTGACTGAGGTGTTTAGTTTCCTGTGTTAACAAATAGAATAGTGCAGTGTCATATCAATTTTAGTTTTGTAAAGTCTCAAAGTTTTTTCTCGGTATAGAGTTTTTAATTAAGAGAAAAAAAACTATTCAAACCTGGAATCAGAACCAAGTCAATACGCAGCGCTCTTCATGTCAGCCCATTTCACAATATTTTATATCGTCATGTAGATCTGAGATTGTTTCCGCTACCCATCAGCTTTTCATCTACAAAACACTGTCTGATATGAGTTTCTGAAGTTGCTGCGGGGATGTTTTAATATGTTGCCACCACTGAGAATCACTGACATACACAATTACCCATCTGCTTCCTGTGATTAAAGAAACTTTCTTGTTTCTAGGTCACTTCCTCCTCCTACTTCTCTCCCACCTCTTCAGCATTCTCCTTTGCTATATTTCTGCAGTCCTCCACCTGTCCTCCCCCCGGTTTATACCCACCAGACTTTTAAAACTAAATGTATCAAAACAAACTAAACAATCACTTTAACATTCTATATGCTAATACAGTATGACACAAAATAACATATTTTCGGAATTTCTTCGAGGATATATAATGTCCCCAGTCGAAATGCAAGAAGAACATTGTACTTAGTAAATGGTCCAACCTTATCTGTCTACATAGACATTTGACAACATGTAAGATTAGCTACTCAGTTTAAAGTAAAATTGTTCTCGGTCAGATCTTCACAAAAATGTTTGGAGATAAAGGCATGGAATGATCAAAGGACAATGCTCGGGACTTGAGCAAAATTCTAATCTTGAATTTAGCCGGATTGAAAATACGTATAAAAAAAAGTACTGGAATGAGCTGTTCTCATAATAAAACTCACTAACATTCCATAGCCATTTTATTTTATTTGTTGGCCAACGTTAAATTTTGACATCTACTTCAAGTGTATAAGGGGAGGTGTTGCTGCACAAAGGACTCAGGTTCATAAAAGAAAAAAAGTTTAATAGAATACACACACACACACACACACACACACACACACACACAGACAAACATTTCATTTGCCTCTAGAATAAAAATATTGTGATTTCAAATCTTTTGTCAAATATCAGAAGTGGCTTATTTCTGTTTTTAACAAACCTTATTCAACTCAGCTATTCCTAGTAAGTTTAAATTTTTCAGAAGTTAATACAAATATTGAATAATTGACACTATATCAGGGACAATAGAGACCGGTGATATCCCTAAAAGATATCGTACTCAATAAGGATTATTTTTTGTTGCATTTGCTCTGCAGATATAGTGGAAATCTGGAATGACTCATAGGGTCAGTCAGTGTTTGACAGATGGTTGTAAACCACATCATTATTTCTTTATTGTTTGTAGCCTCAATAAACGCCTCAACTATTGCTCTATTACTCTGTTATGTTTAGGGTTTTAAAGGCCAATGGTATGATCTATTGCTTATGTGATTGGCTTTTTTCTTACTTTACCAGATTTTTTAAACATTTTTTGTATCATCAATCTTTGGTTAAGCAGTTCAGTCTTCAAACTTCAGTAATATGCACCAATCACTGTACATTTACATAATTTTCATTTAAATCATTCTCCACACAGCAAAGAGATTGTGCCCCAAATGCTACAAAAGCTCCACAGACTTAGGATCCACAGAAGGCACTTTAAAGTTCTGCAGTTCTGTAGACTACAAAAAGAAAACAGACTTTGTTTTTTTTGTTTTCAGTCACTTAATCACTGCACTCAGAAGTCATCTGGACCAATCACTGCACGCTGCTGAAGTAACTTAAGTCTAATTCTATTTACTCAGTCTTTTTCTTACTCATCTTTCCAAATGTTGCTTCTTCCTCACTGTCTTCTTTTCCCCTCTTCCTATTGTCTGTTATTTGATTTGTCTTATTCTTCCCCTGCTTTCTACATTCATAACACCACATTTCTTCTCTCTCTTCTCTTTTTTTCTTACCCTTATTTCACTCCAACTGTCTTTGCTTAACCTTCCACATCATCACCTACCTGTCAACCTCCATTCAGCAACTTCTTTCATTTTCATTTTCTTTCTGACCCAGTCAGTGAGACTTCATGTGAGATTCCACAAAAAGCTAACTGAGATATTTTTCCGAGTTTCCCACTTTTTTTCCCCCAACAGAACACACCAAACAAGATTTCAACCTGCAAGGTGAAAACTTTTTTGTCATTATGCTGACAGTAAACCATTAAGACACCTAGGTCACAGTTGTGACATGCACTTAAAGAACTGCAAAGGCTCACACAATTTCTCATAAATCTATTTCTCTTCCAATTTGAGGGGATTTACTTCAGGCTAAACCCTTCCCTTACCAGTAATCCATAACATTAAAATTCTCCACAGAGTCTCAGTGCCCATTTGCCTTATGAAGACTGATAGTTGTAAATATATCAGATCAGCTTAACAAAATATTCAAAAGGTTATGCTTGGCAGGAAATTACCACAGGTCTAAATAGTTTCTCAGTTTCACTCATACCCAGTGTAACATACTTCAGGCTCTATATGTCAGTGTGTGGCTTTGTGTCAAGCTGCCCATTGTAAGCACAACAAATCATGAACTGACTTTAGTTGCACAAGGCATTGACCAAAATGGTCATCTGCATTTTAATGACAAGGTCTAATTTATTTATGGTCAGAGTAAATGATTGTAGCAGGCTTTTGATATTTTTCGCAACAGTGAAATTCACATGGCTGTCTCTTTTCTGCTGATGGCAACACTATGCTAATGGTGTGTATGAATTTTATGTGCACCTTTCCCAACAAGCCCATCACAGCAAGGTTTCTGTGGATGGGAAATAATACCGTATGTGCCAAGGTATGTATGCATAGCTCTGCTGCATGCAAATTTCCAGTTCTTAAGCTGGTTTGCATGGTTATTTTTGGCATGAGTGAATGTGCTGACCCGATGCTCACTTCAAACTATTTTCAACCTTTTCAGAAGCCACTGCAGTTTTTATGTAATAGACAATGTGGCAATTGGCATTTCAACCAGTCATTGTGCGACAAACAGGGACCTGGTCTCACTTCCAGTTTCACTTTCTAACATGGTTTCTGAAGAAATAACAAGCTGCTTACTGTATCTGTCAGGATCAAACAACTTGGTAGAACTCCAAATATGTGATAAACTGTACCGTCCCCATGGAAAATTCTTACTTATCTGTTAGTTAAATACAGGTGATGACATTTTGAATATTATTAGTATTTTTATAGCCAGGCAAGGTAGGGAACAGGATCATGAATGAGGGTTGCAATTTATTTTGTACAGCTAGAGTGCAGCAAGCTCAACCAACATTGTGATCAATAATCTTTCATAATTTCCATTAAAATTAATATCAGCGATCACACTTTGTTTTCTGTCAAGGTTATAGTGGTAAAAGTAGAGCACAAGTAGAGCATAAATCTGTCTCCTCCCTTGAGCATCCTAAATAGCAGCATCTGGCTATATTAATGTTCAAATGGATCTTGTCTACAGCCCAGGGACCTGCTTTGACTACCCATTAAACTTAACATCTTTGTAAAATAAAACGTCTGCGTGTAACACTGAGTTGAGTGTGCCATCTAGAGTTCTCCCTCATGACACAGAATAATATATTTAATGTGTTTTGGCTGTATGAGAAAACGTATTTTTTCCCAGACTCCCAGAGCAACAGAGCGAAGGAGGGAACAAAGAATCAAGAAAAAATGTACTTGGAAGCAGGACACTTGAGAGAGAGGTAAGGAGGAGGACAAACAACCAACAGGGAGAAAGGGGTTAAGAGAATAGCAATAGGAGGGCAGAGAAGGAAGGAGGAGAAAACACATTGTTTGTGAATTGCAAATTTAAAGCATAAACATGCTATACACCAAAATGTTTCCCCCAGGAAAAAAGGGCCACGCAACATGAAAGCATTGTTTGAAGCAAACAGGTAGAAAGGATCTCTTTGTTGGCTTCTCCTGTCATTTACAGCTTTGGCTCGGGAGGCGAAAGGAACTGCAGTTGTTCTCTACCAAAACACATTGAAGGTTACAGATGATGATGGAATATGAAACATATTTCATGATCATAACTTTTAAAAACAGCGTTCGGGGAGCACAAACATCCAGCGGGACCCCACAACACCATTAACTGATTACTCCAAAAAAGGGTTCATATCTGGGATGACTTGCTGAGTATGTGGTTATCTGGTTGTCTGGTGGCTAAGACAAATTTTCTGAATTACATTTTGCCTTAATAGTGTAATTCGAACATTAATGTCCAGCATAATCACTCCTACAGTGAAAAATTGTTCAAGAAAAAAGGAAATTTTCATTTTTCTTCTAAAAATAAATTCCATTCCCAGATTTACACACAATTTTCCCATTGCTCTTAACTGGATGTTTTTGGTTTACTGTGTTGTGTAATGAAAACCAAAGAGGACCACATCACAGCACAGCTATGTGCTGTTTTTTTACGGTTTGATTTGATGTTCGCTTGCTTTCATTCCTTTATTGCCATTCTTCAGCAATGCTTGGCACATCACTGCCACCTTCCCACTCCCCATTTTTATGTTGCTATTGCTCGTCAATACCTTTGTTTTGGTCTTGCCTTCAGCTTTATATCTCCTGGTACCTTTCTGCGAGTATCCTGTCTCCTGAGCCGACTCTTTAAGGTGTGATTACAGGTCCATCAAGCATCACATTTATTTATTGTTTGTCGTTGTTCATCTGGCTATTCTTTCTTAATCGCCCCTGGAGGTGCACCCCACCCCCTTTAGTCTTTTGTGTTGACTTTGTCCCTGCTCTTATCGTGTTGTGCTTGTTCAAAATACGTTATTTATTTAAAATCAATAAATCCAAATAAAAGTATCATGATTTATGGTCACAGGCCACCTGAATGTTAACCCGAACACCATCAAAATTCACATGAAATCCAGTTAAAGTTTGAGGTAATGGACTAATATATCAAATTGAATAATTTAGGATTAAAAAATAATTTGTGTTCATAAAAAGAGAAACCACTCGGCTTTAATTTAAAGTCATGGCCATGTGCAAAGGAACTCACTGCAAGAGCATTAAAACAGTAAATTCAGCATAAAACACAAGAATTTAATAACATCAAGCCACATCTTAATAGATACTCACCCCCCTGATCAGTGCTGACGGTGATGATGGCGACCTGACGAGGGAAGGTGCTCATGTCTGACACGCCGTTCAGAGACTCGATCTCAAAGGTGTAGTTGGCGTGCGCTGAGAAGTCCGTAACGGTGACCGTGGCGTTGGTCAGGCCCAGCGGCCGCGGCAGGAAGCGGAGCTCCTCCTCACAGAGCTGGCAGTGGTTGGGCTCCGGACCGCAGCGTTTGCACTGGACGTTGTACGTGAGGTCCCGGCGACCCCCGGTGTCGCTCGGGGGTGACCATTCCAACATCAGACAGGTGTCGTTCATGTTGAACATCAAATTGCGGGGAGGAGATGGAGGACCTGCCATAGATGAAAAGACAAAACAATCTAATTGAGCTCAAATCAAAGGTTTTATTTTCTATTTTTCACTCTATTCTCTATTTAACTCTATTTTTCTATTTGCACTCGTCAACAAGTTCATTTTGAATGCATAGCCACACCTTTGATGGAGACTGTTTTTTTTTCTTTATCTATTCAGCTTTAAACAGTAACAGCAACAATTTATTTGACCGGCAGGACATGTTCATTGCGGATGTTCGCTTTTCAGCAGATATAACAGAACATTTTGCCCATATCTCCTCTCATCCGCAGGATCTCTTGTTCCCACTGAACTGGTAATCCCTCTTGACCTGCTTGCTGCCACTGCCTACCCTGCAATAAAAGTTGCTGCTGGCGAATAAACTTTATCAGTACTTGTTTGTCCTTTTGCCACCCTGCGTAACTTTGCGCTTTCAGAACTTTCAAAGCACAATCAGAGCACCTGTCTCCGTGCGATGCTCTTTTTGATCAAGAGGCTCCCGCACCACCTAAGTCTTTATCTCTCGCTGGATTTGGAGGCACTTCTATGAAAGCATTGCCTTTTCAGTGCGTGGACAGGAATCAGAGAGGCAGCGTAGTGTGAGAAGTTTGTAAATAGCTATTTTAAAAAGGCCACATAAAATTAATAGGTGTATTCCTGGGTTATCATCGCATTCTGCTTTAGCAAATAAATTTCAATAACTCTGCTGCAATAAACAGTCGGGGTTGGTCTGCCTCTCTCACATTTTTGCTCCGCCGAGGTTTTTTTTGTTGTGCTCCCTGGTTATGTATGTGTGTGTGCTTGTGTCAGGGTATGCATTGTGCTATAGCGGGCAGCCACCTGTCAACAGGGTGGAGTTAAAAGGCCTGAGGGATTTGAACACTCCCGTCCTGCCAAGCTCACTGTCTGCCAGGACAATAGGATGTTTCCCCTCCCCTCCACCATCGCTTCCTCCCCTCCTCTCCCCACCATTGCTAAGTCTCAGCAGACAGGAGAGCTCCTCCTACTGCTCAGCCACTCTTGACAGTGTGCGTCCATTCTCTCTCTTTATCTCTTTCTGCCTCTATCGGCCATTATCTCACCTCCTCTGTTCTCTCCATCGGAGAGAATCCACCCACCTCTCCTCCTGCAGAGCAACCCCACTGCCATCAATCAGCCCCCATTCTCCTCCGAGAGGAGATTGGTATCAGCACCCTCCTTCCTTTCCCTCTTCACTGTCTACTCCTTCCAGCCCTTACACTTTTCCTCCACCTTTATCTCTCCTCCTGTGACATCTTCTCTTTCTTCCTCTTTACCTTTGTCTTCCCCAAGGTCCCTAGTCTTTAATCTCCATTTCCTTTTTTCTTTAGACTTCAACATCAAGCAAACAGTTTAGGTATTGCCTACAAACCTCTAATTAAAATGTATTATGTGGGTAAAGGCAGAGCTCCCAGCTCTTGAAAGTTGATGCGGTAGACCAGTCGACACCTCTCAGTCCACGCAGTGGTTACAGACTCACTAGGTTTTTTGCAGTGTTTGGAGCAAAAGCGGCCCTAAAGGTTTGTTTGTGCCGTGAAAAAAACTAACAGCAGGTGATGGGCCATGTAAACCCTTTAATTACAACATTGTACACTGAGACGAGTGTTAATTTGTCTTAATTAAGTGAGCAACTGTTCGGGCTGCACTTAAATTCTTTCTAATGATTTTTATTGTCACTTAAATAAAATGTAATTCACTTCTTTGGGATTAGACTAGCTCATTGCGGGTCATTGCTTAAAGATAGGATATAATGTTATATTACATTATCATACAGCTGAAGAATATCATCTTGCTCAATATATTCTCATATTAAGGTAACACACACTTAATCCCAATCATTACCATTCAGGTAGTTATATAAGAACCCACAGGCAACAATATGTGTATCTTTAAGCAAATGAAATGTTAATATAAGTGTAAATTTTATCATAAAACAGTAATTCAAAAGAGTAAGCTTTTCATTTGATTTCCCCGGATACTGTCCCAGTATCTTCACAATGGTTTAGCTTTGTGTTTCCATATAAGACAAATACATTCCTCCACCCCGGAGAGCTTTCTGACGTGGCCCCCCGTCTATCTCTGTGACAGCTAAATGGCTTTTTAATTAAAAAAGAATTAGTCCGGTTAAACTGTAATTTAATGGAAATATGAAGTCGTAATGACAGTCTGTGAATCATCTACAAAGACGAGGCAGCTGAACAAAAGCCATGTAATTCATCCAGAGACTCTAATGTTCGGTTTCACACTAGATAAGTCCCAAAGACGTGGCAGCAGGATTTATGGTCACAGCAAATTCTGGAGAAATCCTCCCGCTCTATAGACAAAGTAACTCACCCAGATGGGACATACAAGTATAGAAATATTCAATATGAATTCACTGTAAACCAATTCAAATATAATCAAACCCAACAACAAAATAACTTTGTCTTTCCCTGCAACATAAATGGCAGAGCTCGCTGTAAGGTTTTCTTTATAAATCCCCAATCAGTTTTTCTTTTTTTCTCAGTCCCACACCCGTAAATGCTCATCACCTATTTAGTGAAAGTGAGACTTCTGCGAAGTTAGCAGATGTTCATCCGATTGTCAAACAAACATGAGAGAGATCGAGGAACAAATAAAAAGTCTCTCCTCTTTACTTACGTGTGCACGCCATTGTTGGAGGGTCTTTCTCAGCCCTGAAGAAGCCCTTCTCACAGCGGCAGATGGAGGCCCCTTGTCCATAGCTGAAACTGTGCGGGGGACACTTTGAACACTTGATGTTTCCCGCGTAAGCCTTGTAGAACCCAGGGCGGCACGCTAAGAATGACAGAGAAATACTTTAATGAGACATGAGAACTAGAATAAACATGTTAAGAGTTACGCAGCTGCAAAAATCAAAATGGGAACATGACACGTCCATATCTTACTGGCACATATTTGAATAACTTACAGGTTATACACACTTCGCATGATTAAAATGGACTTCTTTAGAATAGGTTTCTCATTTAGAAGTAAAACATTTGGGCTTTAATTTTTCTCCCCTCCAGATTGATTCTGTTTCTAGATAAATTCATCAGCTGCACGCTCACCTGTTTTATAGATGCAACTAAAGCCCAAAATACTATGCACTTTGGCTTGCATTTGCAGTGATTTAAGTAATAAATAAAACATTTACACTGTCAGAGTAAACAGCTTTGGTTAGACTAGAGGAACCGTTTTTAAATGAGACAGTTTAGTAAAGTGATTGTGATGCAAAGGCTTCTACTTTTGGTCTCCAACAGAATAACTAAGCTATAGTGGCAAAAAAAAACCTTTTAGTTAAAACTAAATGTTTTTGTTCAGATCAAGCATTACAAATCAAATGAAGCTAATACTCTTTCTTGAAAACACTTGGGAACTGAAGAAGAGAGGATCAGACTATTATTTTATGTATTTTATATACCCCTAATAGGGGTTTAAAATAAAATCAAAATGGATCATGATGAGTTATAATGCAAATCCGTTTATGTTAGTCCTCTTTTTTAACAGCTATTTAAAAACAATTGGACAAAAAAAAAGATAAACTCTCAGGAGGTTCTGAGAGTCTAAAAATATATTTTAGGCCGACGCTACAAACACCTTTTAAAAGCACTTTGAATTGTCTTGTACACGAAATGTGCTATACAAATAAAGTTGCCTTGCCTTGCCTTAATTGTACAGCTTCCCCCATCAATGCACTTTAAAGTGATGGAGAAATCTTTCATGAACAGAGAAATCTCTTTTTCTGCTTTATTTCCATTGAACATTTATCTAATACTTTAACAAAAAACCGAACCATTTGATCACATGGCTGCTCTGAGTTTTTTTGCGTGTGTGGGTACCTGTGATAAACGGAGCTGTGAGCAGAACAAGGTATCACCTCTAACCACAACTGCACTGATCACATGGGTACAATTAGGACAGAAAAAAAAAAACAGACTAAAGACCGTGTGCTGTGTGAGATGGCGAACGCTCACTGTGTGAGTGATTACAATTTCACAGCCGCAAATGGACAAGCTATAATTCAAATCGGGCCTGGAGGTGTGATCCATTGATCTGTTTGTCCTTTAAAATCACTGTGTCAATAGAGAACAAAACTATTTTTACAGCACATTCAAATGGAGGTTTGTCTAAAATCCTCGGCGATGTAGATGCACGGCCACACATGCATCACGCTAACACGCGTCACCTTTCTGTATCAGTATGATAAGTGACAACCCCTACGGCATACCAAGGCTGACACTGTCATTAACCTCTGATACCAACATGTCCTTGAGTCAAAAACCGTCAGTCAACTCCCCCACCTCGGCAGACCCCGTTTTAGACTCTGTCAACCTAATGATGCCTCTGCCCGACCTTCACTGAACTGAGGGGATGTTCCTCTTTCGAACCTCTGAATGTCCTGCTGCAATATGTCTGTCTGAGCTTTGTTCCAAGGCCACTTTGGTTGCCGTATGAAGGCTGACCGTGTGTCACTTGAGAGGGGAACATAGAAAGTGGATTTAGCAGGCACGTAAACTCAACATAAAATGACTAACAGTAAAACTGAACTCAACCAGAAAACCTTGTCAAAGATTAATGAAACCAGGTAATCTTTACTGAGAAAGAGAAAAAAAACACAGTCCACACATCAAGTCCCGCTATTGATCCTGAGTGGGAATATTCATCCTTTACACTGATATGGGGGTGATAATATATGATTTAATTAGCTATTTACCACATAGCCTTTATATTTCCCAAATGAACGTAAGTTGTGATGTACAGCACAGAGAAGTAAAAGGCTTCATACTGGCTACAGTTCTGGTGATGGTAGGAATGAGAGTCAAATGTATGAAGGTAATACTGAATGAGTTCCATATGTGGTAGTGCAAATGTGATAGTGAAAAACCTTCACAAAGATCATTTGAAAAAACAGTGTCTAAAAGCAGGGAGCCAAAAAAAGAGTATTAGATACTGTTATACTGACTGTTTAACACTGTGTGTTCATGTCAGCTCATTCAGGTAAAAAAAAACATGAAAATTCCTTCGAGGCATATTAAAAATGTATTTCCATTAACATAATAAACAACAAGCTCCTGGATGAAATATAAACCATTGTGAAACAAAGAAAACATAAGAACTGTACTATATATCGCACATTTAGCATGAAATTGTTGTCATTCGAGACTGAATTTTAACTGATCATATGAAGAGGTCCACAAATGCTTAATGAGGTTAGGCTGATGAGTCATATAGTCCTCCACACAAATATCATTACACCCCACGAATTAAATGTTTGACATTAAAATGATACCTAATTACAACTTTATAGTGATAGAGGGTTACTTTTTCTGTTGCTGCAATGGATATCAAACTCTCCTATAATATCATGTTCTGCACATCATAACAAACTAAGGGTACAGCTTTTTTTAAAAAGGCAGAAAAAGTACAAATACAAGTTGAAATGCACATTTTTAAAGCAGAAACTTTATAGGACAACATTCTATGGACAAAATGATTAAATAATCAATCAAAAATAAATTTTACAAAGTAATGGAAGAAAATCTTCAACAAAAAAAAAAAAAACATGGCGGAGGTCATATCAGGTTGCAGGTGTGCTCTGCTGACACGATCAGTACATCTTGAATAAATTAGTAGTTAAACATGTTAAAAAGTGTCATAAAACAGTTTTAAAGCAAGGATGAATAATGATTCAAAAGGTAAAATGTTTATTTGTTGAACTAGACAGCAATGTCACTTAAATCCTGACCAATACTTTAACATGGTTGAATAGGTAAGCAATAGAAAAATGGCTAACATAAAACTCATATGCATTACATGCACTATATAAAACCAGTTAATTTGCATTTGTTAGTGAGGAAACTCTATTACATACCCACATTTCTATAATAAAAGGAGTGCAGATACACAGTTGTAAATAAACACAGCAAAATGACAAATGCTTTAGGTAAAAAAAAAAGAAAATCATCTCATCCTCTTTTATTTGAGATATCTTTACCAATAGTCATTGTTTCAATCTATATAACATTTATTAAACATGATGAATTAACCATATTCTAAGGTTTCCACTTTTAACACCTGACAGCAGTAATGCATTGCGGCACATTCAGACACTCGTGATGAAAAGTTTACCAGAGCCATGCAGGGGATAAGAGAACAGTATTCTGACCCACTGGCCTTTGGGTCTTTGCTCTAATTGTGGAGCTTAAGCTCAAGGTTAATAAGATCTGGAAGTCACCCAAAACATCTTCATGCCCAAAGCTCAGAGACCCAGACAGGGGCCCTAAGACTCAGAGGCAGCAGATTGGTGGGTAAGGTCTTCCACTTCATAATCACTGGACCTGAACAACACCAGAGAAACTGGCAGGCACATCATGTACGGGGAGTCGAGCTGTCTCTTTACCTCGGCCCATCTAACCAAGCTGTACAGGGCTTGAAATGGGGTTAACTACAATGGCAGAAACGTTCAAAGTAAGCAAAAAAAAGAAAGAAATGATTTTTTTAAAATCATAACTGAAACATCTAATAATGTATGCAGATGAGAACACTTCTGTTTGCATTATATGTCTCTTCTATTTTGAATGAAAAGCAAATTACCTTAGTAGTTGAGTCTATTTCTTACAGTAATACCATTCTGAATCTCTCACCTGATTATAAGGTTTGATAGTTCTGCAATCCAGGACATCAAACCACCTCGGTCGGCTCGGTCTGTTATTCTCAAGCTGAAAACCATACTGTTCTTTCATGTGAATTCAGCAGGAGATATTTTTGACTCATTGGATTTAAAGGCTGTTTTCACATGTGGAAGTAGCCCTGCAATTTTATGGAGATGTTCTGCGAAGAGCAACCGTGGAGTCAGACATTCTCCAATGTTTGTGTGTAAAAATGACTTGAAAAGGGTTCTTTGGGAACTAAGAAAATATCACTGGTAATAAAATTCACAGCCTTTCACTTTCCATTTTACTTTATTGCGTCTAAGACCGTTTTTGAGCCTTTGTGTCTCATAGCTGATGATAGTGGTTTCCCCTCCTGGTGGTCAGCGAAGAAGAACAATTCCAAGAGGAGCACAATTCTGCAGCATTTACTTGCAGATCCACATCAACAAATGTTGCAGAATAGTTCAGCTCTTGAAATCAAAGGCAGTGCGGTGAGGAGGCGAAGCAAAGGATGAGAGATCGCTGCAGAGATGGTGGCGTTATAAGCAAGATGCAGTCTGGAAATTACTGAATATGTGAAAGAAGAAAATGGAAGACATGCTCTATTTTCAGTTTCATTCAACCCAACAATCACCCTGCTCCGTGTCTCCTCTGTGAAAACTATAAAACTATCCGAATAAAAGCCTTATTGCTTTTCTCTGTGCCGACACGCTGTGCAATTTGTCAACAATCACTATTCGTGTGATATAGTGAAATAGTCACCTCAGTTCTCTCTCCATGCAGAATGATGTTCTCCTTCCCAGGAGAAAATGATAATCTTATTCTTTATGCAACGTGTGTTCATGTTCACTTTCAAACACAACAAGGCAAGCTGCCGGTAACGTCACCACATAGTATGTTACAGTGCGTCTTTATTCTTTAGTTATATTGTTTCTCAGTTCACTGCCAGCAGACACTCCTTCTGAAGAAAAGTCATACATGCTCCTCAAATACTCTTAAGTAAAGTAGTGGCGCTGGTACTCAGAAACCTGCATTTAGCAGTTCCAGATGTAATCAGGAACACTCTCAGAGCTCCAAGTGAAAAGCTCTCTCCTGTTCTCCCTTTCGGTGTATTTCTCCCCCTCATCACACTTCCACACTCTC